TGTCTGTCTGTCTGTCTGTCTGTCTGTCTGTCTGTCTGCCTGCCTGCCTGCCTGCCTGCCTGCCTGCCTGCCTGCCTGCCTGCCTGCCTGCCTGTCTGATCTTAGTCATCCTGTCAAGCTAGTGGCATTACCGGGCCAGAGGACTTTTAGCCCCTTTAATTGTTTCCATCTCAGTAGTCATGTCTTCACAGCATCAAGAGTGTAGTGAAGGATTTTACTTGGCTGGAGTCTCTCTGGAACTGCATCACTTTTTAATGCAAAGGAAGGAAGCCTCAAGATGTTGGCAGCTGGACATTTTCTGGGTCATTCTCTGAACTGCGTGTTAGGTCCAGGCCTGCAGATGAAGCCCAACTCAAAAGGAATCTGCAAAATTCCAGATATCCAGATAGTATTAATAATTTTTTAAAGTTTTCACTTACTAGTATTGATGGCCAGCTATCTAGCTCCCTGAAGCCTGCAACAGCTTCTAGCCCTCTGCCCTTTCTTGGTGACATGATTATCTTTGTGGTCTGATGAGAGCAATTGTGACAGCCAGTCAATGCTCTATCCTTGCACACAGAAGAATGACCTTTCTTAATGATGCAGTGCTGAGGGCTACAAAGAATCCATCTTGATGGTCAGGATATGATTGTGGGATGCTGTTTTTTCTCTTCTCTTAAAAAGTTTCCTCAGTGTTCTTGTGGGAGATGTTTCTTCATGGTGATCATGACAGCAGCTGATCTTCTTTAAACACCTATTGTGTTCTGGAAGACCCGCATAGAGTTCTTTTCATCTGGTAAATTTAGAACTGGCCAGTTGAACTTGCCACACATTTAGCACTGAGCATCTTCATGACTTTGCTGAATTTGAATTAAATTACTACAATTTCTTAAGCAGTTAGTGGGTACTTTGAATGTTATACATGGATGAAGTGTTTGATCATCAGTCCTGTTGCTCAGACCTTACCAGGTAAACATTATTATGATTACTACCATTTCATGGAAGGAGAGTGGAGGCTCAGAGGGTCAGGGGAAGGCTGTGTGCAGGGCCTATAGTCATACCTAGGCAATTTACCTCCAGGACTCACCGTAAGTCTGTGCTCTTCCCCATTGCACTAAAAGTATTGCTTGGAGACCTGCAGAAAGCCTGCGGGTCTGCGAGCCCCATTCCACCCTCTGCTGAGAATGGCCCCAGTGAGCAGTCAGGACAGAGCCACTGGTGGTGATTCCAGAAGGCAACCTACTACAAAGTGATCAGCCTGGGCCTGGCCACTCCCTGCCATTTTGTGTTCTGATCACCTCATATCCTTTGGCTTTAATTGAGTTTTTCTCCTCCTCTCTCTGGTTCTTTGTTCAGCTTGAGGCTTTTTATTCTATCTTCACCACGGAGCAGCAAGACCATGTTAAGTCAGTGGAGTACCTGCGAAACAACTTCCGACCACAGCAGGACCTGAATGACAGAGTGGTGTCGAAGTCTGCTGTCCGAGATGCCTGGAACCATGACCTGGCGGACTTCTTGGACAACCCACTAGGAACAGAAGCCTCTAAAGGTAAATTTTGATTGAGTCCTCTAGCCTAAAGGAGGAAAGCTTCTCATCATAAAAGATTTTAAATTGTAAAGGGAACGAAGATATGAATTTGGATCCTCAGACATACATAAAAGCCAGGCTTATTACCATGCACCTATGACCTAGACCTGGGAGTAGATATGGGGTACAAAGACAAGTAGAATGTCCAGAGCTCAATTATTTCCAATCAGTGAGCTCCAGGTTCAGTGAGAGACCCTGCCTCAAAAAGTAAGATAGACAAAAATTGAGGGAGACACCTGATGTCAGCCTCTACACGTGCATACACACACACACACTTCAAAGTCAGCCAAGAATTGGGACTTGGTGTTAAGAACATATGTTTCTCTGCAAAAAGAAATTTGTCTAGACAATAAATAGAAATGATATGTGAATAATTTTGGTTAGATTGTGTAAAATTACCCCTTGACTAGTAGGAATAGATCAGTCATCCTCTGTCTATTTTTATTTTGACATTCATTAGTAATGTCTAAATGAAACTCTTATTTAATCAGACTCATTTCTTACTTGTGTGTTTTATTGTTGTTTGTTTTTTTGAGACAGGGTCTCAAGTAGCTCAGGTTGGCCTCAAGTTTGCTATGCAAGCAGAGATGACCTTGAACTCCTGATCTTCCTCCCACTGCCTCCTAAGAGCTGAGATTGTAAGCATGTACCATCATGCCCTTCATTTTATGCAGTGCTGGATATGGAAGCCAAGGATTTGTGCCTGTTAGGTTGAAGGGCTCTAATAACTGAGCCATCCTCATTCCTGTCCTGCCTTTTAGGAGTTTCTGTTTTGGTCACTAATTTTCTCTGAGCTGAAACACCAGCATCTGTGAAGTACTTACATGCAGCATTCTTTCTCACTTCCATGCTAAGCAGGGGTGCAACTTGTGTTTGAATGCCTCCCAGAAGCCACCAGCTTCTTTAAAAAAAATTTATTTATTTTATGTGCATTGATGTGAAGGTATCAGATCCACTGGAACTGGAGTTATAGACAGTTGTGAGCTGCCATGTGGGTGCTGGGAATTGAACCTGGGTCCTCTGGAAGAACAGCCAGTGGTCTTAACCACTGAGCCATCTCTCTAACCCCACCACCAGCTTCTTAAACCATGGAGGAGTTTAGTTCTGGTATCTGCTAAGTGTGTGTGCTGATGTCTTACTTCCATTTCTGCTTTCTCATATGGAGTAAACATAGTTCCTCCCTCAGGAACCCTTGCTCTTCCTTGCAGCACCCCCCCCCTTTTTGAATAAATCACTAATAATTGTGAGTTTCTTCTTCAGAAACATGTGGAGAAAGATGTCTGGTCAAAGCCCTAGTCCTGGGAGGAGTGGAACAGAAATTTTTGCCTTGGTGTGATGAGGTAGCTCTTTCCCAACTGAGTGCTCTCCTCCTTTGGAGTTGTGTGTTTGGGGGCTTAGGAAGAACTCACATGCTTTGTCAACAGGAAGAGTAGGCTGTGTTCTATATGGTGTGGTAAGTGAGGTGAGGAATTTGTTCCAAGAATGTCTGCACCCCCATTATTAGTACCTGGCTTTTTCAGGTCCAGAGGAATGAGATTATAATAATAATAATAATAATAATAATAATAATAATAATAATAATATCAATATTTTTATTGCTTGGGCCTTGCTGAAGGTTTCGATAGTGGGAGCAGTGGAAGAAGAAGAAGAAGAAGAAGAAGAAGAAGAAGCCTGTTTTCCAAGCTTCTGAACCTACAAAGGAGCTAAAAGAAGATATCCAGGAATGGCCAGTGTGTGATAGAGCATTTACCCAACATCACAGCAAGGCCCAGAGTTCAGTCCTCAGCATAGAGTGTTGAGTGTTGAGCAGGAATGGGTAGACTTGTCTGTCTGTGGTTTTGTGTAGGATACTGATCTAGCCAGGCATGTTCATGAAAGGCTTGAGATTCAAGTCTAGCTCATATACTGTCAGTAACAGGACAATTAAGATGCTCACAAGCCTATGAGAAGCCTCAGGATTGGATGGTATTAAAATACTCCTCACTAGGGCTAACCTTTTAAACTTAGCTAAAAGTAACTGAACTTGAAGGCTCTTTCCCAAGAGAACTTTGGGAAAGAAGACCTCTCTCTTTTAGAGAAGTCTGTGCAGAGGTCGTGTAAGGGATGTGAAATCTGGATCCAGAGGAGCACGCAATCTGCTAGCTCAGGAATGTTGAGAACATGACAGCAACAAAGCTCTTCCCTGGAAACAGGGCTGAGTGGCTGAATGGTGACAGATGAGCTGTGCAGAGAGAATGTGTGGCATCGGTCCTTAGAAAGTTAGAGGGTGGCAGTCTTCCTTCATTTCAGTGTCAATGTGGACAGAGGCCTCTGCTGAATGTGGCCCAAATCTCAAATATGGGATGTGGTCAGTCAGTTCCTCATTCTCCAAAGCTTAGTGATGATCATGTCTATTGTTAACTCTTACAATGTGTAATTATTAAAAGGATGTCTGATATTTCTGGAGGGTCATAAGGAGAATGGGAAGGGAGAGGGAGAGAGCGTACATGTACTCTGCAATGCTGGTTAGATTTTCAGGATTATAGAAGAGTGAAATCATTCCCTTTCCCATATTTTGTTTGATTACTGAACCTGTATAAAACACTTGTTCTAGGCATGGGGCACCTATGGAAAGACATGTCATACCTAGGCTTGGGTGTGAATCCGTGGGCACCTGTGGCAACACTTGTAGGCATGGATGTGAGCCCATGGGCACCTGTGGGAATACCTGTTGTAGGCATGGGCATGAGCTCTTGAGCACCTGTAGGAACACCTGTTGTAGGCATGGATGTGAGCCCATGAGCACCTGCGGAACTTTACAGGTTCTTACAATATAGAACAAAGCACTAGACCAGGCCACAGGGATAGTGGTAGATATGGAAACTGTTTATTAAGAAGCAAAAGGCACTCTTTAGAATGGAAGTGATCTAGAGAGAGGGAACAACACTGAGACCCAAAAATGTTGGGCCCCATTGTCTTGACCTTTTTTTGTCATTTACCTAGCCGCTGTCTGTTTTCCTCACTCAGAAATGTGACTTCTTTGCACATGTTCTGTCCTCTCCTATGTGGCTCTGGTGGGGAGGGTCTCCAGTCTTCGTCCAGCTGACTTCTTTGGTATGTTAGTCTTGCTGTCTCTTTGTCTACAGGCTTCTCCCCTGCTGCACACTGGCAGTAGACAGATGACTAGAAGACAGGTCTAAAAATGAAGTACATGTGCCAGTCCACTGCATAAGGGAGAAGTGAGAATGTAATTCCCAGGTCTAGAACCTTCCTCACAGAGAAGAGAGCAAGCTTCTCCTGCAGTACAAGTGGCTCTTCCCTAGCTAGTGAGTTTCTGGGAGGAGATTTGTAAGCACCGAGAACAGGAGCCTGGAAAAGCCCCTCCCCAAGCTTGCCATTCCACAGATTTCTTCAGTTTGAAGTCCGAAGCAGCATGTTTTTGGACAGTAGCCCTGAACACACTGGAAATACAATCATGACATCTGGAGAAATATGCATGTAACTTCCACAGACTACACCTGAGTAACGAGCATTGGGATCAAGGAGCAAACATCCCTACTTCCTTTTGTTGTGGATCCCTCTGGTAACCACTGCCAGAGCATGGCGCTGCCCTTGTGTGCCTGTGGAGTCCTCTGACTAGTCCTCTTTAGTTCATTCTGAGGACTATGCTCCATGTGTGAATAGTCAAGAAAGTACTCACTGAATACAGGATAACAAGAGCTAGTTCTAAGTTTCAGCGAGAATGGAAGTCTTGGGCATGCTTCTTAGTGCCCTTATAGACAATGTCTGCTGTCTGAATGTCGGGCCACATCCTCTGCTGTTCAGTTTTACTTAGACATTGTCAGTTTCCTAGAGTGACTGTATTCATCCTTTATTGTTCTGGCCACAGTGTGGGAAAGATTCCCATTTATTTAATATTTTCACTTGGAGATGCTGGAGATTAAACCTAGAATCTCACACACGCTAGGCAAGTTCTCCACTACTGAGCCATACCCTTGCACTCCAATTCTTTTTTTTCTCCCAACTTTTACAAAAGTCTAGGTCAGATTTACATGTCAATCCCACCACTGTAAACGTGCAGTTTGATAATTTGTAGTGGATTCGTCATTGCCCAACAATCACTGCAATCCATCTTGAGGATATTTCCTTCACTGCAGATGTCCGCTCATACTCACATCGTTCCCCATTTTCAACCCAGGCAACTGTAATATGTATTTTGTCTTTCCTGTGGTGTTAGGATGGGGATTTATTTCTGTTCTGTTACAGGTACCTGTTGATCATTCCTTTTTATTGCTCAGTTGACCCTCTATCTTTCTGCTTGATAAAAGTGTGTGTGTGTGTGTGTGTGTGTGTGTGAGAGAGAGAGAGAGAGAGAGAGAGAGAGAGAGAGAGAGCGAGCTCATGCCTACTTTCCTATATGTGTAGCATGTGTATGCAGGTGACTATAGAGCCCAGAAGAGGACATCAAGTCCCCTAGAACTGGAGTTGGCAGGTGGTTATCAGCTACCATGTAGCTGCTGGGAACTGAACCTGAGTCCTTCACAAGATCAGTCAGTGCTCTTAACCACTGATCCATTTCTCCATCCCTTCTGTTTGTTTTTAATAACAGCCTTACTGAGATTTAATTAACATACCATAGTTTATTATCTATAATTGTGTACTTTAATGTGGCCAAAAAATTGTACAACTCTCCCTATTATTTCTAGAACATTTTTTCATAGTTCTAAAAACAAAAAAAAAAAACCCTTTAGTTACTATTCTTTCTATAATTTCTCTCCCCGAAGTAACCACAAATTTCCTTTCTGTCAGTCTATATTGGCCTATTCTGTACATTTCAAATCAATAGATCACAGGGAGTATCTGGCCTCTTTCACTTAATGTAGTATTATGGGAGCAGGAGTCAGAAATGTGATATGGTCAAATAACATAGTACTGCCTAGCCATGTTACAGTTTGTTTATTCATGTATTGCTTACTGGGCAT